GGGGTGCGGGGGGGGGGGGGGGCATCCTGCCTGCAGGTGACGGGAAGATGCTTCCAGCTTCAGCAGAGTCTACGGAATGGCGGCGTCTGTCCTCGGGACATTCCGCGCACTGTAAAGGGAACTTGGATTTGAAGCGGAATGCATGACGGAACGCCTGACGAACGTTTTCCTTTTCATTCCGAGCGTTGTTTTCATCAAATGCCATTTATTAAAGCAGATGCCACTTCCATATAAGGGCTCATTCACACGGGCGTGCGCATGCATACGGTGTGCGCGCCCATACAGAGACCTGCTCCCGGGAGGGACAGGTGCTGCATGTAATTGCGTCCAGCCACCTGTACATCCCTATGGGAGGACACGGTGCACGCAGCTGCATGCCGACTTGAACCTGCTCATGTGTGCGGGTCCGGGTGCCTGCACTTGGACGCACACTGCGTATGTGCAGGTTCAGGTTGCGTGCAGCCGCGTCCTCCCATAGGGAGCTGCAGGCTGCTGTACACATTTCTACGCAGCACTTGTCCCTCCAGGGAGCAGGTCCCTGCACAGGCATGCATGCCTTGCGCATGAGCACGCCCATGTGAATGAGCCCTTAGCCTTAAAACCCTTCTTCGGGGGAAAATAACCTTCCTTTGGAGCTGGAGGATCGGACAGGGGAGGGGGGGAATCCCTGCAGGGAGCCGTGAGTGACAGTCACTGATCTCTGCATGGACAGATCGAAAAGTGAGTGAGCGCCGGTATGTGTTCGCTCACTTACCGATCTCAGGGGGGAGCTTATTATTTTCCCCAGAGATAGGCTTTAGCACATTAATGTTATTTCAAAAGTTGTTCCATTTGCAGCTCTCATTTAATAATCCTTGGTGGACCTGTGTTGGGGTGACAACGCTCTGCCCCTGTCTCCAAATGTGCTCCTGCATTGTCTACCTGTCACACGCGCCCCCTGGTGGAGACTACAAGCGCCTGTGCTGACACACATTGTTGAAGCACGGTCCACTGTTGTCACCATCAGGAAGCCGCTCCTGACCAGTGGTGTGAAGACGACGCTGGAGGACA